AACCAGGTTGAGAGTTAAACACGTGAGGGAATAGAGGTGTGAAAAAAGTGAAGTCATGGCCACATATTCTAATTTTGTGCAAGCAACCATTCCACGTTTCGATGGTCATTATGACCATTGGAGCATGCTAATGGAGAACTTCCTTCGTTCCAAGGAATATTGGGATGTCGTTACACTTGAAAGAAAATGGTATTTGAAATATTATTCAATTGTGTATAATCTGTGCAAAGGGTTCTCTATTTATAGAGAATACTTGACCTAATTTTGACCTAATGGACTTGGCTCAATACAACAAATAAATGACTAAATAATAATTATTTACAACACTCCCTTTCAAGCTGAGGAATAGATATTTATCATTCTCAGCTTGCTAGTAAGTTCTTGAAATCTGTCTGCAGGAAGCCCCTTTGTTAATAGATCAGCTAATTGACGCCCAGTGGGAATGTATGGAGTGGTAATCAACCCACTATCAAGTTTCTCTTTGATGAAATGGCGGTCGACCTCAATATGTTTAGTCCGATCATGTTGAACTAGATTATGAGTTATACAAATAGCGGACTTATTATCACATAGCAGCTTCATAGGTCCCTCACATTTTATTTTGAGATCATCAAGTACAATTTTCAGCCACAGTAACTCACAAATGCCTTGAGCCATAGCTCGAAATTCAGCTTCTGCACTTGATCTAGCAACCACATCTTGTTTCTTACTTCTCCATGTCACCAAGTTACCGCAAAGAAACATGCAATAACCAGTGGTAGAACGATGGTCAGTCACAGATCCAGCATAATCAGCATCTGTGTAGACTTCTAAAGATAGATTCCCATCACGTCGGAATAACAATCCTTTACCAGGAGTACCTTTAAGATACTGAAGAATTCTCTCTACTGCCTGCATGTGTTTTTCCTTTGGATCGTGCATAAACTGACTGACAACACTAACAGCATAAGCTAGGTCTGGTCTAGTATGGGTCAGATATATCAATTTCCCAACTAGCCGTTGGTATTGTCCTTTATCAACTGGAGGACTCTCTTCTTCATAGCCCATCTTGTGATTCTGCTCAATAGGAGTATTAGAGGGTTTACACCCGAGCTTTCCTGCTTCTTTGAGAAGATCCAAAACATATTTCTTCTGGCTGATAAAAATTCCTTTGCTTGAATGAGCTACTTCTATCCCTAGAAAATATCTCAGTTTTCCAAGGTCTTTGATTTCAAACTCAGAGGCAAGCCGTGTTTGCAGAATCTGTCTCTCCACAAAATCATCACTTGTGATAATAATATCATCAATATATACAAGGAGCACAGTAAGCTTCCCATTTTGGGAGTGCTTGAAGAAAAGAGTGTGATCTCCTTGACTCTGTCTGTATCCTAAAGTCATCATAACCTTAGTAAACCTTCCAAACCAAGCACGAGGTGACTGCTTCAATCCATACAAGGCCTTTTTTAATCTACAAACTTTATTTTCCCCCTTCACAGAATCAAAACCAGGCGGGATTTCCATGTAGACTTCTTCTTCTAACTCACCATTGAGGAAAGCATTTTTCACATCAAATTGATTTATATCCCAATTGTAATGGGCAGCAAGGGATAACAAGATTCTTACTGTATTCATCTTTGCAACTGGAGCAAAGGTTTCTTCATAATCAATGCCATGGGTTTGAGTGTAACCTTTGGCCACTAATCGAGCCTTGTATCTCCCAAGAGTGCCATCAGAATTATATTTCAGGGCATAAACTCATCTGCACCCTACTGCTTTCTTTCGGTTGGGTCTATCAATAACCTCCCATGTTTTATTTTTCTCCAAAGCATTCATCTCCTCTTGCATGGCTTGAGCCCAATTCCTATCTTCAAGGCTTCATGTACTGATTTTGGTATTGCAATAGAGTCTAGTGCTGAAACAAAGCTTTTGTGCTGCACAGAAAGATTAGCAGAGGAAACAAAATGGGAGATAGGGTATTGAGTACAAGAGGGACAGGAGGGACAAGATTTCTTGGGACAAGCTCTTTTTCCTTTTCTAAGAGCAATGGGTAAATCATCAGAAATATTAACATCATGATCAGAAATATGAGATTCAGGACTTACCAGTGGTTCAGACGATTGAGGTTGCTGCTGAGACAATGTGGGTTGTTTCCTTTTTTCAGGTGTCATAACCTTCCGTATCTCTGGTGTACTTAATGTATCAATCACAGGAAAATCAGTCACAGGAGGATTACTCACAAGAGGATCAGACACAGGAGCAACAGACACAAGAGGATCAGACACAGGAGGAACAGACATAGGAGGATCAGACACAGTAGGAGGATACACTGACACAGGTGAAGGAGTAGACACTGACACAGGTGAAGGAGTAGACACTGAAGTTTCAAAGAAGGAAGGTGATGAGTCTTCTGGTGAATTATTCTCCCCCTGAAGATGAGGACCTTGGAAAAAGGACTCAGATTCCTGAAATGTAACATCCATAGAAACAAAAAATTTCCGACTTCCAGGGTGATAGCACTTATAGCCCTTCTTATCAGGAGCATATCCAAGGAAGACACATTTAAGAGCCCTAGGATCCAACTTACTGCGATGCTGTTTATGAATATGAACAAAGACAACACACCCAAACACTCGAGGAGGAAGACTTTGCAAAGTTGGAACAGAAGGAAAAAAAGAAGTCATGGAGTGATTAGGACTTACATGATCGAGAACCCGAGTGGGTAGACGATTGATCAAGAACGCTGCAGTAAGAATGGCATCTCCCCAATAGCATTTGGGTACATGTGTTTGAAACAGTAAGGCACGAGCAACTTCAAGAAGGTGACGATTTTTCCTTTCAGCAACCCCATTTTGTTGAGGGGTGTCTACACAAGTAAGTTCATGAATCATACATTGATTTTGTATAAATTGGGAAAAAGAGTGATTGACATATTCAGTACCATTATCTGTCCTTAGTCTTCTGATTTTTTTACAAAATTGAGTCTCAATCATTTTATAAAATTGAAAGAACAGTTGTGGTACCTCAGACTTTTCACGCATTAAGTAAACCCAAGTTACACGAGTGCAATCATCAATAAAAGAAACAAACCATTTATTTCCAGAAGAATGAGGGACCTTAGAAGGACCCCAAACATCAGAATGAATAAGATCAAAAGGTTCAACACTCTTAGCAATACTAGAAGGAAAAGACACACGATGATGCTTAGCAAATTCACAAACATCACAATGAAAAGACTCAACAGACTTAGACAAAAACAATGACGGAAATAAAGATTTGAGTAAACTAAATGGAGGATGACTCAAACGCTTATGATGCAGCCAAATTAAAGAATCAGCATTTGATTGACCATGAGACATGAAGGTGTGATCTGTTACTTTATTTGTGGGAGATTGTGACACCAGATAGTACAGCCCACCTTGCTCTTTAGCACTACCAATCGTCTTCCCCGTGGCGAGATCCTGAAAAACACAATGGGTAGGGAAGAAGGTTACAGTACAATTCAAATCTTTTGTAATTTTGTGAATAGAAAGAAGATTCGTGGAGAGTTTAGGAACATGAAGAACATCCTTAAGATGTGAGGACTGCTATAAATTTATGTCACCAGAACCCGCAACTGATGTATGTGAGCCATCAGCTATGGATATTGGATGAGTTCCAATGGTAGGATGATAAGAAATAAAGGAGTCAGCACAACAAGCCATATGATCAGTAGCACCAGAATCAACAACCCAAGAATGTTTAAAATCATTACATGAAGAAATGAAAGAATGAGTTTTGGAGCTCATACCAGTCATAGCCAAAGCACTAGTATCAGATGGCTTACTCAGATAATCAAGAATGGTTCGGAGTCGTTCCAACTCATCTGGACGAAATGCAGATTGGGTCTCATTAGGTGCAAGGGTTATTTCAGAAGAAGTAAAATGCGCTTGACCACGCATCCTTGCCATCTTTTCTAAGACAGTTTGCTTTCCATAAAGGCGAAAGCATAAATCCTTGATATGACCTATTCTTTTACAGTAAGAACACCATCGGTCATCTCTCTTAGGTCTAGAAGAGGTACCATCATAAAATTTTAAAAAAGAACTCCTTTGAGAAGAGGCCATACTGCACAGAAAATGGTTAAAGAAAAGCTCCAAGAAGCCAAAAAATCACAAATAAATACCAAACGATGTCCGACCAAAGAGAGGAGCACATATCCAGAAAGAGGATGAGGAGAAGATCAGAAAACTTTTTGGCCGGAGCTGGAAAAAGTGTCTCACGCGCCTCCACGCGCCGGTGGAGGTGTCTACGAGTGGGCCTCACTCGCCGGGAGTGGGGCGGCGCGTGAGAGCGCGTGCGGCTGCCGCCGGAGCTGAAATTTCTGCGGCGAGGTCGTCCGACGGTCTCGAACCTTTCTGTGGTCGGTCGGAGTTGAAAGGTCGCCGGAAAAGTGTCCAAAACGCGATGAACAGTAGAGGCCTTATGTTGTTTTCGGAAGATCCAGTCGTCAAACGATTATAACACGTCCGTAAGCTGATAGATCAGAGAAAAAGGATTTGAAAACTGGTCCTCTTGGTCCAAAAGGTCCACCGGAAAAATTTTCCGGTGGCGGCTAATGGCGGCAAGAGGCTAAGAAAGAAGGTTTCTGTTTTAACGGAGGTAATTGCGGAAGCAGATCCCTCTGGATCGAGAGCTCTGATACCAACTTGAAAGAAAATGGTATTTGAAATATTATTCAATTGTGTATAATCTGTACAAAGGGTTCTCTATTTATAGAGAATACTTGACCTAATTTTGACCTAATGGGCTTGGCCCAATACAACAAATAAATGACTAAATAATAATTATTTACAACAGTTACCAATGGCGTTGTTGAACCAGCACTAGCAGAAGGAGCTCAGTTGACAGCAGCACAACGAGCAACTCATGAAGCGGTAAAGTTGAAGGATTTGAAGGCGAAGAATTATCTCTTCCAAGCCATTGACCATTCTATCTTGGAAACCTTTCTTTCCAAAGAAACTTCCAAGGATATTTGGGACTCCATGAAAAAGAAGTATCAAGGCTGTGCAAGAGCAAAGAGGCTGCAACTTCAAGCTTTACGCTCGGAATTTGAAACACTTCGAATGAAGTCGGGAGAATCAATTGCAGATTATTTCTCTCGCGTGATGACCATTGTCAATAAAATGCGAATTCATGGAGACAGGACAGAAGAAATAACTGTCATAGAAAAAATTCTTCGATCATTAACAGCAAAATTTAACTTTGTTGTTTGTGCTATAGAAGAATCTAAAGATATAGATGATTTGTCACTTGATGAATTGCAGAGCTCATTGGTGGTGCATGAACATAAGTTCAAACAGGAAGACACAGATGAGCAAGCATTAAAGGCTTCTACTGATACTCGTTCCAACAATTTTCAAGGAAGCGGTAGAGGCAGAGGTAGAGGCAGAGGCAGAGGCAAAGGAAGGTCCACTAATTTCAGAGCCAATAATGATCAATTTCAAGGCAGAGGCAGAGTAGGAGCCCCTGATAAATCCAAGGTAGAATGTTTCAGGTGTCATAAATTTGGTCATTATCAATCTGAATGTTATATTAGGCTGCTAAATAGCAAAGAAAAAGGAGAAAGTTCAAACTTTGCAGAAAAGGAGGAAGGTGAAACCTTATTGATGGTTGCTAAAGATGAAAAGAAAATTGAGCCAGATGTTTGGTATGTGGATACTGGCTGCAGCAACCACATGAGTGGTAGTAAGTCTTCTTTCTCTCATCTGAATGAAAATTTTCAATCTACTGTAAATTTTGGTGATCATTCTACTGTGAAAGTAATGGGAAAAGGTGACATTAAAATAAAAACCAAAAATGGTTTTGTGGAAACAATATCTAATGTATTGTATGTTCCTGATTTGAAAAGTAATTTATTGAGTGCTGGCCAATTACAAGAAAAGGGTTATATGATCACTATTAAAAATGGTGTTTGTGAGATATGTGATTATGTTAGAGGTGATATTGCTGTTATTCAGATGAGTTTAAACAGATTGTTTCCATTAAAGATTGGAGGAATCCAATCTAGTTTAATGGCTGAAATGAAAGATCCTTCATGGTTGTGGCATTTTTGCTATGGCCATTTGAGCTTTGGTGGGTTGAAGACGCTCCAACAGAAAAATATGGTGACAGGCCTCCCTCAAATCACAATTCCTCATTCCTTAGTTTGTGAAGAATGTGTTGTTAGCAACCAACATCATTCTGAATTTGTAAAAAGGAACTCATGGAGAGCAAAGGGAATTTTGCAATTGGTGCATTCAGGCATTTGTGGTCCAATAAATCCAATTTCTAATGGAGGTAAAAAATATTTAATCACCTTCATTGATGATTTTTCTAGAAAAACGTGGGTTTATTTTTTACAGAAAAAGTCAGAAGCTTTCTCTACATTTAAAAATTTCAAAGCTCGTGTGGAGAATGAGACAGGAAGGATGATTCAGACACTTCGCACAGATCGTGGTGGTGAATATTGCTCAAAAGAATTTGAAGCTTTTTGTGAAGAACATGGCATCCGAAAAGAGTTTACAACTGCGTATACACCACAACAAAATGGTGTATCAGAGAGGAAGAATAGAATCATCCTCAACATGGTTAGAAGCATGTTGGCAAGAGGAAGAGTTCCAAAGACGTTTTGGCCGGAAGCAGTAAACTGGTGCATTCATGTCTTGAACAGAAGTCCAACCTTTGCAGTTCGAAATATGACGCCAGAAGAGGCTTGGAGTGGGAGAAAACCAAATGTGGACCACTTTAGAATTTTTGGATGCATTGCATATGCTCATGTCCCGAATCAGAAAAGAAAAAAACTTGATGACAAGGCTGAAAAATGTGTCTTTCTAGGTGTAAGTGATACATCTAAAGCATATAAATTATTTAATCCACTGACAAAAAAAAAATTGTGGTTGGCAGGGTTGTTGTTTTTTATGAAGAAAACACTTGGGATTGGAATATGCAGCAGCCTACCCAAGTTCTTTGTGATATTGATTCTGAACAAGAGCAAATTTCAGCATCTAGTATGCCTGAAAATTCATCCATTGCAACTTCTTCAACTAGTCAATCCTCACCAACAGTAGTTGGAGTTAACGAAGAAGGGACTCAATCTCTTCGTCGTGTTAGAAGAAGGCCTGCTTGGATGGAAGATTATGAGGTAACTGGAATTGAAGATCCAATTACTCACTTTGCTTTGTTTTCAGAATGTGATCCCGTGACTTTTGAGAGTGTGTCAAAGAAGAAAAATGGCGAAAAGCAATGGATGCTGAAATTGATGCAATTGATAGGAATGATACTTGGGAGTTAACTGATCTTCCAAGTGGACACAAAACCATTGGTGTGAAGTGGGTGTTCAAAACAAAGTTGAAGGAAAATGGTGAAATTGACAAGCACAAAGCTCGCTTGGTTGTCAAGGGGTACAAGCAACAATATGGGATTAATTATACAGAAGTTTTTTCTCCTGTTGCGAGACATGATACAATCAGATTGGTGGTTGCATTGGCTGCACAAAATTCTTGGCCTATTTACCAGCTAGATGTCAAATCGGCATTCTTGCATGGGTACTTGGAGGAACAAATATTTATTGAACAACCCCCTGGTTATGAGAAGGTTGGAAATGAGCATAAAATTTACAAATTTAAAAAGGCACTTTATGGACTAAAACAAGCCCCTCGAGCTTGGTATAGTCGCATTGAGTCTTATTTTCTTAAGGCTGGTTTTATAAAGTGTCCTTATGAACGAACATACACTTTTTGTTAAGATTGGTGATGAAGGAAAAATGCTTATTGTTTGCTTATATGTTGATGATCTCATATTCACTAGAAATTCTGATGTTATGTTTGAAGAATTTAAAAAGTCTACGATGAATGAATTTGAAATGACTGATCTTGGTATGATGCATTACTTTCTTGGCATAAGTGTAGCACAATCAAGTGATGGAATTTTTATTTCTCAAAATAAATATGTGGAAGATATTCTAGACAGGTTTCAGATGAAGGATTGTAATCATGTGCACACTCCAGTTGAATGTGGCTTGAAGCTACATAAAGATCATGAAGGAAAGAAGGTTGACAGCACCTTCTACAAACAAATTGTGGGAAGTTTGATGTATCTCACTGCAACAAGGCCAGACATAATGTATTCTGTGAGTTTAATTAGCAGTTATATGGAGAATCCTACAGAAATGCATTTGTTGGCTGCCAAGAGAATCCTTCGCTACTTGCAAGGAACAAGAAATTTCTGGATATTTTACAAGAAGGGTGTAAAATCTGATTTAATGGGATTTACTGACAGTGATTATGCAGGAGATCAAGATGACATGAAGAGCACATCAGGTTATGTTTTTATGATTGGTACAGGTGCTGTTTCTTGGGCATCGAAGAAGCAACCAATTGTCACTTTGTCAAGCACAGAAGCTGAATTTGTTGCTGCTACAGCTTGTGCATGCCAAGCCATTTGGCTAAGGAGAATTCTTGAGGAGCTTCAATTCAAGCAACTCAAAGCTATTCAAATTATGTGTGATAATAATTCAGCAATTAAATTATCCAAGAATCACGTGCTACATGGAAGAAGCAAGCACATTGATGTGAAGTTTTATTTCTAAGAGATCTTTATAATGATGGAGCTATTGATTTAATCTACTGCGGAAGTGAAGACCAGATTGCTGATATTTTCACTAAAGCTCTCAAGATGGAGTCATTTGTGAAATTAAGAAGATTATTAGGTGTATGTATACTTTAAACTAACTGTTAGCAAACATCAGTTTAAGGGAGGGAATGTTGAAGTCTTTTTAGTTTCTTGTGTCAGTTACAATATTGAAGAGTTAATTGTCTTTTGGTTTTTCTTATGTGAGTTATGAAGTTAAATTGTTATGTTTATTAGGGATATAATGGCTGATGTTATGACATTATGAGTAGTTAATTAGTGGTGTTATGAGGGTGTTATGAGACTCTTGATTAGCTTTGTAATGAGTCTCTTCATTAGTACTTTCAGTTTTTTATGTTGTCTATTAATAGGCTTGATGTGTCGAAGAAATACAGTATTCCCTTTTTCAATATTTTTTACATGTCTCAATATTCTATCACCCCCCCCCCCCCCAGAAGGCTGGGTGAAAGTTAACACAGACGACTCCTCTACCTCAAATGGGTTGAGGTCAACTTGTGGTGGTGTTATAAGGGAAGTCTCTAGTAGATGGGTTGTGGGATTTTACAAGTTCCTTGGAGCGGGTATTTCTCTTAGGGCCGAGCTTTAGGGTATGCTGGAAGGTCTCCAACTGGCCTGGGATCACAGTTGTCGTAGAGTGTGGTTGGAAGGGGACTCCTCTTCTGCTATTCATTTGATAAAGGAAGGCTGCCAATCTCATCACAGCCTTGCTCCTCTCGTGGATAAGATTCAAATGCTCCTAAGAAGGGATTGGTGTACCTTTGTCTCTCGTGTTCATAGGGAGGGAAATAGTGTTGCTGACATGTTGGCTTCTCTAGCTTCCCCCTCTGATTGGGATCTTCATGTTTTAGATAGTGTCCCTCCTACTTGTTGGGAGGTTATGAAAAAGGATCTGATGGGGGCTACTACTCCCAGGATGATCCGAGATGTTTCTTCAGGAACGGCATGAGTCTGTCTTTATTTTTTTTCAGTTTATCCAAAAAAAAATGGGTTTTATAATTCTCATTTAACATGAGAATTACAATTTTCCTACACACCCTTCGATTTCCGTGCTGACATGGGTCCTACATATAATTTTTTCTAACACATGGGTCTCACATGCTTTTTATCTCTACAACATGAGATTTAATTCTCCTTCAACATGAGAATTATAAAACCCAAAAAAAATATATAGAAAGAGTTTAAAGAAGGCTTAGAGGAGTTTTTGTATATGAGATTAATGTTTCTAGGAGATAATTTTATCTCCTACACTACACACACATAAAAGTGTATGGAGCCATTTGAAGATAAGAGAGAGAAAAAGAAAATATAAATCCCATAGACTTATATATATAAAAGGGCCGACTCAGTTCAAATACCCACTTCGTGAGTGTCTGGGGAAGGGAATACTCTAGGCAGTCTTTCCCCTGCTTTTTGTAGAGAGGCTGATTCGAACCCGCGACCTGACACACCACGGCAAGCAAGCTTACCGCTGAGCCAAGCCGGCCCTTCTCCATAGACTTATATATATGTGTAGGAAATAAAATTATCTCTTACAACATCAGAAACATTAATCCCTATTACAATTAAATGTCTTTTACCTAGGTTCTCAGCTATAATAAAAAGTTAGTTAGAAATGGAACATAAACAACACTTGGCTTCAGCAAATGAAATGCTGGGAGTTAATTCCATTTTTCACACATTAATGCTGCTTTGTTACTACAATCTCATCCCTTAAATTCCACACATTGAACCAATGCAAATGTAGTGGTTACGTAATGTACCAGAAAATGTAATTGACAACCTCTCCAATCTCACCCTATTTAAAGTTCCCAACCTCGGGTACCAAATAAATAAATGTTCCCAACTAATTTTTCTTTAGTTGTTAAGAGTAGGGCCAAAAAAATTTCAGATAGAAAAATTCCAAAACCCTCACCAATATGATAGTAACAACAAATTAATCAAACAGCAAAACTTTTCCCTTGTAAACACGTAACAGCCAAGTAGGCAGTAGCAATGAATTTGGAGTACAAAGAAAGGCAAAACATAGAGCCTCCCTACTTTCCCAGAATTTATACTCATTTATGCCAACTACAATTGGAAAGTAAAAAGTGGCAAAGAAAAACTTGTAACAAAAATAATAATGATTATTGAATCAAACTGAATGCCTCAATTCTTGACTTAAAATGCAGTTCATTTTGTTTTAGGCCACAGCTGGCATGTCCTTGAGCCATGGATCAAGTGGCTTACCAATTGAGTACACAATGAAGCCAATCTCACGTAGCTTTTCCATATCCACAATGTTCCTTCCATCAAAAACAAAAGCTGGTTTTCTCATATTATCATATATTCTCTGATAATCAAGAGTCTTGAACTCATCCCATTCAGTCAGAATGCAAACACCATCTGCATCCTTTGTTGCTTCATAAGCATCCCAAACCACACTAACTTTCTTCTCAGTTGTGGGACTTGTGGGCTGCAAATGTATAGGGTGGTCCCAATCAAACTTGTTCATCCATAGATCCCTCTGAATTTGGTCCTCAGTTACCTGTGGATCATATATGCTAAGCCGCGCTTTATCACCGAGTAGCCCCTTGCACACATCAATGGCTGGAGTCTCCCTTGTATCCCCAGTATCCTTCTTGAATGCAAATCCCAGAATGGCTATCTTTTTTGTTGCAACTGTGTTAAACATTGATGCAACTACACGGTTCACAAAACGACTCTTCTGATAATCATTAATCTTGATCACTTGTTTCCAATACTCTGCTACCTCAGGAAGTCCATTGCACTCACATATGTAAACAAGGTTCAAGATATCTTTCTGGAAGCAAGATCCACCAAAACCAACACTAGCATTCAGGAACTTAGGTCCAATCCTTGTGTCAGTACCAACAGCATAGGACACTTGTTTAACATTTGCCCCGGTAGCCTCGCAAAGCGCTGACATGGCATTGACAGATGAAATCCTTTGAGCCAAGAAGGCATTAGCAGCAAGCTTAGACAACTCTGCAGACCAAAGATTTGTGGTTAAGATTCTCTCCTCAGGTACCCACTGAGCATAAACATCCTTCAATGTTTGAATAGCTTTCTGGCCTTCTGGGATCTCCCTTCCTCCAATGAGAACCCGGTCCGGGTTAAAAAGATCTTTGATTGCAGTTCCCTCAGCAAGGAATTCTGGGTTTGATAGAATCTGGAACTTGATACCCTTGGCATTGTGGGTTAGAATCTTCTCTATAGCCTCAGCAGTTTTGACAGGGACAGTGGATTTCTCTACAACAATTTTGTCAGACTTAGAAACATCGGCGATCATGCGAGCTGCGCTCTCCCAATATGTCAAATCTGCTGCTTTGCCAGCTCCAAGACCCCGAGTTTTAGTTGGGGTGTTCACAGAGACAAACACTATGTCAGCCTCATAGACATGTTTTTCTACATCAGTGCTGAAGAAAAGGTTCTTGCCACGACATTGCTTTACCACATCATCAAGGCCTGGCTCATAGATAGGAAGCTGATCGCTGTTCCAGGCTGCAATGCGCGATTTAGAGATATCAACCACAGCCACTTCAATGGATGGACACTTTAATGCAATGACTGCCATTGTAGGACCCCCCACATATCCAGCACCAATGCAGCATATCTTCACCATTTTTCTTTTCTAAACAACCTATGCAATGAGGGGTTCAGATGGATCAGTAAATTCAAGTATACAACAAAAGCAAATTTGACATGTTCTATATCAATCATGTGCTTTACAGTACTATACTAACATTTCATATAAACCATTAGTAATTATATGATCATGTGCTTCAGTCTTTAAAAGTTCAAAAAAGAATTCATATATATTAGTGAACAATATAAACAGTATACTTCAAATTTCTGTGAGCAAACAAACATTTTCCTCTCAAATAGATCCGAGCTGAAGGTTTCATACAATCAAAGATCAAGTACCCAGAAAAGATCTTAGAAGAATCCAGATCTAACTCGTGCATTCATGGGGATGATGATTTGGTGATAAAATTAAAAATGACTACAGGTTTACCACTCAGAGACCAATCTTTAACAAAGTACAGTTAGTAGATCTAGCATTAAGTGTAGAAACAAACACAAATGCTTGATGATATTTCTTTTAATACATCAACCACTGATTACAGTAGATCCAATGCAAAAGAGCTTCAAAACTAAACAGCATTGAACCAAAAGATAAAAATGAACAACTTAATATACAATAAAGATAAAATGGTTATAGATCTACACACTTTTACACAAATCAGAATCAAACCCATCAATCACCAAGAATTAACTACACCCATCACATACAAAAATTCAATCAAACCCACAATGATTCAGCTCTTAACATGATACCAGAGTAAAAAAGATTCTAAATTTTACAAAGTTCTGAACAAAAAACACCGAGTGAGGAAATGGGGTGTCAAATCTTTACCTGCAAAGATGAACCACTGTGACTAAGAAAGAAACCAAGAATTAAGGAGAAGCACAGAGAGGTAAAGAAAGAAAAGCTTATGTATAGGAAGAGTTGACAAAGTTTATATATAGCCAAAACAAAATCAAGGTTTGGTAGCTGTTATTACCAAAAAGGACAAGCTTTCTTTGTGAAAATGATGATGAGTTTGGTGCAGGGTTTTTTGAACTCTGGTGGTTCATTCTTCTAGAGTGATAGTGAGGGTAAAAATGGGAACTTATGTGAATTAACATGCTGGCACGTTTACACGCGTTTGTCGCAGACATGAGCTCTGAGTGTCAATGTCAACTTCAGGCAGATTGTCAATGTCACCACCAATCACCATCACCTTCCTAAGATTTTCCCACTACTCATATTCTCTCGCTCATGCTAAATTATTGTGGAAATGGAATATAGTAAATGCCTTTTCATGACGGTTTTGAAAATAAATAAAAAATCTTAACTGTATTTTTTATTTTTTTCTGTGACTTATGTGTAAGTTTGGATTTTTAATAATTTTTCTCTAATTAAGTCTCTTAATTTTTTTTATATTGTTGGGTAGTAATTTTTCGAAAGAAAGAGTTATCGTTCTCAGGGAACGGTTTGTTTAGTTTTCTTTTTTTAATTCCTATTTCTAATTTCTTGAATTTAAGTAATCAATCTTTTAAAACTAAGAAAAGACTAAATGAAGCAAGTATTTATCAGACTTGTATTAAACAAAATTAACAGAGGAATATCTAATCACAAATGTAACAATTATACGGTACTGGAATTCTTGAATCATGGATGAAGGAAAAATTTCGCATTCCTGCGTTTTATAACTGCTACGGCACTTTAAGATCAGAATTTGAACTACTATGGCTATTTTAGCTAAAACTTCCCAGTTCCAGTTTTAATCTTTAGAAGGATCTTTTCTCAAAGTCTTCTAAATCTTCAAAAATTATATCAAAGACCTCATTGGGTTATCCCTAACCTCAAGGGTTCAATTAACAAGGGTCATAACCTGATTTCCCAATCACAATTATGCAAAATATATTCAAGATCCATTCCCATGGTGTTCTTGAACTTAAAATCAAAATCTTGCTAATCAAATGAAACTAAAGCAAACCATCACAGTATTCAGAAAAATAAAAGATCACCCAATCATCGTGAATCCCAGAAAAAGAAACTTAGAAATTCATATTAACAAATGAAAAGCTTAGAAAAGTAAAATGAAGAACCAAAGCTTGCATGTAGCTGAGTCTTGGATCCCTCCAAGAAAGAAGTTTCACGCTTGCTCTTGATGTGAGAATTTGAAGAACAAAGACTCGAACTTAACAAAAAGTAAAGAGCAGAAAAGAAATTCTGGAATTGAAAACTAAAACTTTACAGGAGAGTGCTTAGTCTATATCTCTGTATCTAAGACTCCTATTTAAAACTAAACAAACCGTTGATCCAAAGTTTCATTGCTGTTCATCTATGCTTGTCCTTATCCAACGGTCCAGCTCTTTTTTTTTCTTCACTTCCAAAAAGTAACTCATATGGCTCTCTACCTGCAGTAAAAATAGTAAAAGAGGATAGTAAATCATCAAATTATCTCTTTCTCTCTCTTTTACCTTATTGGGCTGATTGGTACTCATTTGGCCCATTACTTTGCACTTATAACTAGTCTTTAGCTCAAATATTGTAAAAACAAAGCCATTAAAATAATCATAATTTATAGCTAACAAAATACCCCAAACTTAGAGTTTTGCTTGTCCTCAAGCAATCAAGAAAATATTAATTCAGTAAGCACATTGTTAGCTATTGTCTTTTTTAGCATTCAGATCATCATTCAAGCAATGTAATGGCTTTACAGTACAATCCTCCATTTATCACATTACATGTCATCCATTAACATCAATCAATTATATTGTCTTTTAATATCAATACCAAACAGCAGTCTAGTCCAAACTAAGTTTTAAATTAAACAAACAGCACACTATGTCACAATGCATATCAAACAGTCACTATACATATTCCATATCAGTTCAATGTCATACACTGAGTTCCTCACAAGGCATTTTCTACTCATCTCTCTTATTTTTCATTAAGGATAATCACTCATCATCAACTCTACATTGTTGTGCCTAACATACAATATTGCCTAGACACTTGATGTCTAATGTGGCATTTCCATCAAAGGGGCTTTTAGGCTTATAATGGGGCTGTGTTTGGATATTTGTTTTTCTAGACACTTGGCTAATTTAGGCTAACCTTAAGTGTCTAATTAATCAACATCTAGCCTTGCAAAATATTGTCTAAGTAAGTTAAAAGGAAGCTGCTTGCTCTTTTTTTTTTTTACCTTTTTTATTTTATTTTCAGCCTCAACTTTTCACATTCATTCTCACCTTCCTTTTTTTTTATATACAGGGAATTTTCTATTTTTCTTTCTCCCTTTTTATATCCTTTTTTTTCTTCTAATCTCTTCTTGATCACCTTCTATATTTTTCTTCTTTTTATAACCACTCTCTTCAAGCTAGCTTACCTTTTCCTTACTTATTTTCTTGCATTGCAGCCTAGTGAGAATTAATCAAAGACTAAGGCTTGCCTATAAGGATGGATTGGGGGAATTGGCTCTTGATATCATGGTTATGTAAACAGAAAAGAAAAGGTTCAAGCTCAAATAAGGGATCAAGGGATTAAAATTAATTAAAAAGGTAAAGCTTTTTGGCTCTAGGCTAAACAATTTGAAACAAGTGCCCTTATCATGTGGAAATAAACACACTAGTCGCCTAGGTGTAATGTAGGTTAAGGACCCCAATGTAGAGTGACCACTCAACAAGAAAGTATATGTGTTTGGGTCCAAATCCTCACTAAGGTTTTTATTTTTGAGTGATGTAACATGAACTAAGCTGAGTCATGTTAGGACTGCTCTCATGAAGTGTAACATAGATGATGCATAGCTAATTCACCAACTTAGAATGGAATAGACAGAGAGTTAACAAGATATGCAAGATCAACATAATTGAATTAATGATAATGGTTGTCATATGTATAGATAAACCAGAAAATTGTTATTCAAGTTCAAAAAAATTAAATTTTTTTTAGCATGCAAATCAATTAATTCAGCATACCCTGTATACCCCACCCCAAACTTAAAAGGCAGTTGCGTCCTCACAACAAATGGTAGTAATCATTTTTAACAACAGAGAACACAATATTGAAGAGAATAATATACATGTTGGGGAGGATAAACAACTATAGACAAATGTAGAAAAGATAAAACCTGGGAGACCATTAATATGGTGCTCCTAAGTGTGTGTGGCTGAGGTTTTTCACATGTCTACCTGCCTTTGGAGCCATAATTGCTGCTGAAATAGATAACTAGAGAATGAGTGAAATGAAGATTGAATGTGAATACGGAAAAAGAACCCAAAGAGTGTAGCAGGTAAGTGTCAAAGCGATAGAAAAAAATACAACAACAAAACACACTCAGTTGTGTTTCAGTTAGGCAATAGAGAACAACAGTAATAAGGCACAAACTCAAGTAACAATTCAGACTATATACCCATCCAAAATTACACAACCAACCAATACCCAGCAAAATTATGACATGAACTCGCTACTTTCAACCACAAAATTCCTTGTTTTTTTTTAGACACCTGCTTGTTTGACTCATCTCAACATAGACCACACAAAGAAACTAAAACTGCAGTTCACATATGTGACAGGGGTTCGCTCACTCAGATTTTTTTTTTTATTTTTTTTTTATGGGTGTTTGATTATTAGTGGTCTTGCAAAATAAAAAATAAATAATTCAGCACCTGGATATAGAACCACAATATACCCTGTTTTTTTTTATTTGTTTGCAACTAGGTTAATGAGCATCAAATGAATATTCATCAATCTCAAATCAAGAACTACACACTTTATAAAAATTGAAATATCTCAATGTTCATGAAACCAAACTTAAGAATCAACAAAGTCAGTGTGTGTGGTTGTGGTTGGAATTTATACAAGGTGGTTTGAATCTCCTATACGAAGGAAAGAAAAATAAAATAAAAATGGAAAGAAAAGAAGAAAAAGAAAAATGGAAGATCAGTGAAACAATCTAAAGCAAGAGATTGATAGGGTTTTGGAAGTACTAAACCTAAATTCGAATCAGACCACACCAACAGTGATGAAAGACGCTCAACAAGGTCGAGGCCTTGATGATGAAGTGGTGCTCTCCTTTTCGGCGGTAAAGAGTAATGAGAAATGAGCATTTTGTGGGAGTGAGAGATCAGAATAAAAATGGGAAAGGAAAAAAAATTTGACCGACGAAAATGGGTATAAGAAACGAAGTCTCAAGGGTTAGTGAGATAAAGATGTGCAGTGTAGATAGAGAAAAGGAAAAGTAATCTTTTTCTTGGTGGAGTAAATGAGATGAGACTGATGCAGAGAAGTCACATCAATGCTATAGAAAACTTTTTAAAAGCCACTGGAGTATCTCAGAGGTGCAATAATGGTAGAATTTCACCATTAAAAATTGGCTCTGCTGTGCATAAAGCACAACTTTGATCACAAATTTCTTCTTTCTTTTCTCTTTTTTTTTTTTTTTACATTTGTGCCAATAAGAAGAAGCTGATATGTGCAGAGAAGGATTGGGGATGAAGCAAAGAGGGGATAGAGAAAAAAAATAATCTGACCAATGTCAGATTTGAAAATCAAGATAATAAGAAAGTGTTGAGCTTAACATATTTGGGCTAGAATATTATTAAATCATACTTGGCCCAATTACTTTCATACACTTTATATTACTCTCTTTTTTTATACTGGCCGAGTTAACTTGTAGCAGCCCATGGCACAAGTACTTCTCCTCATCTAAATAAAAAAAAAAATTATTATTTGGGCTATCAAGTTTTTAAATACCCTATTCAGCTGAATGGATTACACTCGGTGTACTAAACTCAAACCAGTCACATTTTTATTTTTTTTATTTTTTTTATTTTTTTAACTTACGTGTATACATGCCCACCAATATATATTCTCAGTTAAGCTCTCATTCCTTTTTTTTTTATTATATTACATTGGGCTTACTATTCTCATATTCAACCCATGCATTAATTTTTTATATACCACTCGTACGCTTATTCACCCAACTAAAGCAACCCAAT